TCAAGCTTTTAGTTGTTTCAGCTTCTGAAATGCAAGATTGTGCTCCCTTCATCATTGTAAATTGAACAATTTTGAACTCCTTGGTCAGACAAAAAAAGGAACGTGCACATGCATCTTACATATGTAATGGGCATTTTTACAATGTTCTGACATTAAATAATGAAACAATAATGAAATCCATCAATTTAAGTTGGTTAAAGCCCTACTGTCTACTACCACATTAAAACAAAACACTTACTTCAGGATTTTATATTTACTGTATACCAGCAGCTAAAGACAGTGTGTTTGCAGAGTTTGTGAAATCTTTCTGAATTCCATGAGCAGCATATCTAAAGTAGGTTACTTTGCTGACACACAGCATTCACACCTTTATGAAAACTTCTGAATAGAGAGAATCCCATTCCACCTATGTGTTATCTTCTCTCTACAGCTTCTGCTTTAAAGACAGGCCAGGGGAACCTGTTTGGCCTCAGAACATCGACACCAGAACAGACATACAGGTGGGTGCTTGTGTATTTGGGTTTATATGTACGTTCGTGCGAGAAAGAAAGAAAGAAAGAAAATATATGCACACTTCTCATTTGTGCAAACGAAATATCAACTGGATTAAAACATGTGTACAGTATAGCCGTACAAACTATGTGTGTGTGTGTCAGGGGGAGATAATTTGTGCATGTATGAGAACACATAAAATTTAAGTCTGCTTAATAAACTGATCACATCCGACTAAATGTGATCACCTTGAGTTTACTCCTTATATACTCAAGTCACACACATGTAAACACTCCTTTTCCTGATAATTCAGCATTTCATGCCTAGTTTACCCAGCCCCAAGGCTTTCTGGGTGATTATCATGGCATTTCCATTTGCAAGCCCCTGGGCACAGCAATCTGGAGGGGACTGATTTGGACCATTTAGATCCACTAAATGTTTGGAAAATGTTTCTTTGCCCCAGGGCTCAGAAACATATTTTCAAATATTTTCTAAACACATTTGCAGAATTTAATCAAACAGTATTTGTGGGGACATATTTTACTGCTAAAGTAATGCTGGGTGGAAACAGGCTACCCTGCCATCTGTCATCGCAGCCAAAAATGCTTGAACTGCACCAAAAGTGCAAGAACGCCATTTTAAACAGGAAAATAGAGGAACAAAAACAAGTTATGTCACTATACTAGAAGTGCTTCATTAAATTAACAAAGACAGACGTATAGACAGTCCATGTCTTGCTTGGAGGCCAGGTTGAAAGTTAATGTCGTGGCGGTCAGTGTTTGATATCTCTACAAAGCCCATCTCTGCGGCTGTTATCAACCCACCAGACATCAGAGGAGAGGCAGGGAGTTTTCTCTGTCCTTGACTCTGACACACACTTAACGAAGGACAAAGCTTCCAGCGCTCTATGTGCTTGCATAAAAAATACATGCGGGATCAAAAGGGCAGGTATCAAGTATTACAGTGCTCAGTGTGTGCACAGTCAGAGATATACTGCTAAATATAATACTAGTCCGAGTGAGGCCCAGTATGTGGGCGTGAATACATTTGTGAATGTGAAAATGAAAGCCACTGTGTCCACTGAAGCTGCTTTTACCGTAGAATACATCAGCAATTATAACTGTAGATGGGGTTAAAGAGGTATGATAAAATCATCGAAACACTGACAGTTCGATATGCATTTCCTAGATACACCACGAGACATTTTCTTCTTCCCTACCTGCTAACTTGTGCCAGAGCTTACATTATTGTCAACTCATGCATAATCCATTTGCTGCACACCTTATCAAAAACTGCAGACTTAAATAAATCTGACCGTATTATTTGCCAAGGCTGAGAACTGTCAGGGAACTTTTCTTTCTTTTTTTTCTCCAAGAAATAAAACTCTCGCTCTCGAAGCTGTTTGATGCCATTTTAAAGTATGTTTTAAATCTCCATTTATCTACCCAAACACGAGTTCTCTAGTGGAGAACCACAGTGCACGGACAGAGTGCCCACAAGCACATACCCAAAGAGGATTTCGAAGAAGACAAATGAACTTGAGTGGAGCTGGAGGAGAGAGGCCAGAGAGGGGCCAGCAACAGTTAAAGATGTGTTGCTCTCTGAAGGAGCAGCTGACTAACTCTGAATTCTAAGTAGAAGAAAGTTCTGCTTTTTTTCTTGAGGCGCTAAAAGACCAGTTGTGTTGTCTAAGAGGGCCAGATGGGCCTGTGCTCTCTGACTAAACTTTGGGCACGCACACACACACACACACCTCCAGGACCCTTCAAGCTGATCAGCATTCAAAGTAAACACTCGTCCTTTTTCCTCTCCTCCTTTCCTACTCTGTTTCTCCTTTCTCCACTCTGCTGATGGTTCCACAGGGAGGACAGGAGTCGCTCCTGTTTATCTACTTATTCCTCAGGGGAAAAAAAAGAGGTTCAGCCAGCAGGAGACAGACAGAGGCAGAGACTGATGCTGTGCAAAAAGATGCAGGGTTGGATATTTACACTGTTAGCAAACATGGCGGCAGAGAGACCAAATGCCCCCAGGCATTATACAGCTTTACAGTTTCATTTCCCAGCAGGCTATGGTAACCTTGCTATGACTGCTCTCAAAGTTTAAACCCCTTAATCCTGTTAATAATGCATTGTATAAAGTAGGTATCTAAAGTACACAAACTCACACCTTTATTTGACTTAGTAACGAAACCAATATGAAACCAGTTTTGGAATAAATTCTCGGTCACTTTTACTTCTGCAATGACAAGGTATTATTTTAAGCATCATAACGAAACACAGATTAGGCTGTGTAAAAGTAAAAATACACGTCTGCGCCAGTTTACAGCTTGCGTGAACTATCGCTTGTACCGCACGAGAAGATGAAACACGGTGCCATATGCAGCATGAAGAAGCCTCTTAAGAACACCTGTGCTGCTGCACTTAGCGCCCAGGCTCTATTGTGATCTGATGAGGCCGAGGAGAGAGGGCACGCCACGGACATATTGTCTTAGCACCTCGCTTTGTTCCAGAGCTCAAAAAAGCAAACTGCACTCTGAGGGCACTTCACTGTGGTGTTTGATGGCGCTGGAGTAGAGAAACAGAGAGGAGGAAGAGAAAGTAAAGATTGATAAGCTGCATGTGAGATTGAGAACACCCGACTTCCTCCATTATCACTGACCAATCAAAATGCAGGGGGAAATAAACCCTCACAAATAAAAAGAATCCTGATAATTCAAAATGGCATCCAGATGTGAAAGGTTTGAGGATTTCTGAGAGTAATCTTTGGATTCTGAGAAAAGTCAAAATTCAGAGAATCAGATGAACTTTTCAGATGTGGCACTAATCCTTTTCTGTGTAAGCAGTGACCTGATAGATTGCTTCAGACCTTTATTTTGGCGGATCTGCAAGTTTCCGAATGACAGATTTTTTTTGTTAAAGCTGTAACTATCCTGACAAAGCAGCAGAGAAGATGAACAGCAGTGCCCTGAGTTGGCGATTTTACGGATTATTTTTGTAAATTCACAAAACACCATGAAAGGTACCAAAATCCTACGTCTGGTACCTTTAAACTGAGAGTAAACTGCAAAACCAGATGGCCTACAGGCAGTTTTAGGCACAAATGGAAAAGCAGACCAGCCTCATTAGATGCAAAACCTCCCCTCATCCCACAGGCACCACAGGAATAATTTGTTTGTGAGAGAAACGTTGTAATGCAGAATTTATATTACCGTGTTAGGATTGACACTCCTGGCATTAAAAAAAAAATTTACTTTCTGATTGTTTTTTGATGAATGATAAAATAGAGGACACCTGGGGTAACTTTCACCCCCCAAACCGTAAACTTTTGACTCTCACCCAGAATTAAAACCCATTTTGCTTTTGTCTAGTTGACATTTCCACCAGTCTTTCTGCAATGCATTCAATAGGTTCTTTTTCAATGTAAATGAGAGTCATTTTTAAATAATACAAATTTCACACAGCCAAACCTAGTTCAAGAACAATGACAACAATACATACAAAGGAACAGATGTCATAATAAAGTTTTTAAGGCATCTGGGAAACATTTATTTCCTGTGGGTGTATGAGTGACAGTAACAGAGCATAACTGAATGTAGCCCTGATATGAAAATAGTCAACTCTGGCTGTTGAAACAATGATAAAACTAAAACTGTGACAAGACAAAATTAAGTCTTTTTTTTGCTATGGTAAAAGCTGAAGAAATGTTTTTTTTGTGTATAAAAATGGAGGAAATATTAATCAGCAACTGTAATAAATGTGTACAGACAGTTGTATGAATTGTTTATTTTCATTATTCTAAGTACACTTTAAGAGTAAATAATGATATTCTTATTTAAAAAGAAAGGAGAACTTCTAAACAAGTCCTACAAATTAAACAACAGAATACATAGATCGATACTTTATTTATCCTGAGCGAAATGCATATGTAGTCTGTTCCCTCCAAAACAACATATAAAAGCGTTTCATGATGTCAAGTCAGTGACAAATCATGACGGGACAATGCTTAAGGTTTAGTTAGGCACAGACACGACTTTACTTCCTCCTTTCCCGACCTTAATCATAATGATTACAATAATAACCATGTGGTTAATGTTCAGGAATAGCTGCGTCACAGTTAAACCAATGTTGACCGTCAGCAGGAAACAGGAAGCTAACAGCAGTCTTGTCTCTATGATAATAATGTCACACTTCTTTCTCTTTTGCCCCCCATTGACAAGAGTACTACAGCCACTAGAGGATTTTATCACTTGATACTCTTGTTTTACAGTATTGATCTCTTCAATATTACTCCTCTGCCTCCCTCTACTCTACTGGACTTGACTGGGCAGATGTTGATGAGTCATAAATATCAAATATGTGTAAGACTAGTCTGCAAGTCACTTTGTAAAGCTAAGAACAGAATTCCTTGCTATTGTAGAAATAAAACTGGGCTTTATGGGATAAAACCACCACATAATCCCCAGCCTTAGGAGTTTGGGACCTGATTTAGCCTTATAACTGTTCACATACCTGCTTGTCCTTGTCCTTTGCTTTCCCACTGCCTGACACCCGTGATGAGGTGACATCACGAGGGATGACAGAGATTTGGTGCAGTGGCATGTTCATCCCAGCAGAGCCAACCAGGGACGCTCACACACACACTTCCTGTTCCGCTGCCAGAGCAAAGAGCATGATGGTCTGAACTACGACACCTTGCCTGCACTGCCCTGAAGAAGACACACAGGGACCAGACAGACATTAGTAACAAGATAATAAAATCACATTCAAATAAGGTGTAAAATCATATTATATATCACTGCGTCTGGAAGGGGCTGAAATACAAGTCTGCAGCTGCATTTTGTGTTTTTATCTCATCCGCTGATCACTTAACTTCTTCTGCAACCAGGGTTCTTTAAACGTTTTCAGTTCAGAGCCCAAACTGAAGTTCAGACTGTGATGAGGATGGCCCTCACAGACTCAACCTCTGGACTCTATCTGTATATTAATGAATACACTGTGATATCTAAATAAAAGTTTTAACTATAAATGAAACATGCTCATAGAGACAAGTTGAGACCAGTTGAAGGTGCTGATGTACAGCTGTCACACATTTATAGACCTGTAGAATTAATAATATCTTAGTGATGGCTTACATAAACTTTGATTAAAAAATGTATTAACAAAGGAGTAGGGGTATTGCATGTAAATAGACTGTATTATAGTTGTATGTCTTATATTTTCTGCTGCATTTGTGTGTATAAAGAGTGAAACAATATTTTCTACAATATTTGTATAGATTTTGATATTTTTATTGGCCCCTGTGTCATTTTTCTTGTATTTTGTTTGTTGGCAGCTTTATACTTTAGACAAAATGATAACTCAACATTATAGCCGAGTTTGTGCTGAAAAGAGGATACCATGTATGTGGGTAAGAGCAGTTTAAAAGGTGCTAAAGGTAAAAAGGAGCAATGGAATGCAAAATTAAGAACCCTATTAAAGCAAGTCCATGGACCTTTCTTGGTCCTGACCTACAGTACAAGTGTAAGAAACTTTGGTCTATTCTCAAACCACCAAAGGCAGAGTCATCTCTTGTGATTTTCCACAGGAGAGCAGAAGTTTGTCTTAGAATAGCACCGGCACAAAGTCTAATAAATTATCACAGAGGTGATCCCCGAAGTGTGCAATAAATCACTACAGAGGTGATCCCGTGTGTGCAGGAATACATATTTTTTTCCAAAGACCTGGAGATTCAGAGCTATCATTTCCACAAAAGAGAGAGCTGTGGTGCATGTGGTTCCCTGTCGTTGTTGGATAGATGCAGACAGACAGCCATGAAAGCAGCAGCAGCAGTGGTAGTATGAGGCTGTCCGGCGGTGTTACACAAGAGGGTTTACATATGGGTTGTTTTAACTCCAGTTAATGCAGCCATCTGTACTACCACTGACAGCAATTAAGCTTTAGCTCCTTCTCACCACTAGGCTGTGTGTGTGCGTGCGTGTGTGTGTGTCTGTGTGTGTTTTGCCAAGTAAACCCTCAAGCGCCACAGTATGAAAATGACAGGATTAAGAAACCAAAAAGCAAGCAGACAGATGGGTTGTCAGTAAAATGGCAGTAATCAGAAACCAGCGTTGATGGCTGGAAGGAGGGGTTGAAGGTGTTTGGACTGAGAATGCCACACGGGTTCACTGAGGAGAAGCTTCAGCAACAGGCCAACACAGCCAGAGCTGCCACTTCAGTTCATCACTGCACTGTCTCTGATAAGTATCAAGCTGGAGAGGTGATTATGCTCATATGAACTCACTAACACAAACAGTCAGCGGTCATATCAGCTTCTTGTGCAGCAGCTGGCAGTCTCAGCTCTGTGCCAAT